CCCTGTAATGGAAATCAATCGAATATTCATTCATTTGTTATTCCGTACTAATGATAATATCCTCAGGAAAAAAAGTAAAAAGTTCGATTTTAGCAGGAATAACCAGCAAACAGCACCTGAAGGAATCCAATGGCAACGCGAAGACCAGCGAGAATATAGGCATGAGTGCGAGCGGCCACAGGGCTTGCTAAGGTAAGCAATGAAGCCCCAAGAATGGTGACCAGAATTACTCGTTTACCACCAAAGCGGGAAGCGAGGTATCCTCCAAGAACCTAGAAACCATTAGCTTTCAGGTACAGTGAAAAATTCACACGAGACAAACAAACGAACTTACCTGACTTCCCAAGTAACCCCAGAAAAAGGCTCCTAGAATATGTCCCTGGGTAGTTTTACTCCACTCGAACTCACCCTCAACCTGAAAATCATCATTATATAAGAAAAGAAAATCGTCATGACATTATTACCACTACAACGTCCCAATGCATGATCACTGATTTTCAAACACCAAAACTGAACTTTTTTGTAAACATCAAATGTTGGGCTATAAGACAACGGTGCCCACCAACGAACGGTAATTGGTAATGGGAAAATGGGTAGAAGAAAAACATAAAATGAGAGTAATTCAGGCAATCATAAAGATAACTCAGCGCCAAGAGCTTCGATTTAGCCAAAGTACCCTAGTGTATATTTTGTCCGAGCACTGTGATATTAAACAGTTAACGGCTTGTATTTCGCGTAGCTGGTCCGCTTCATAGTTATAGTTCTACGGATTGCTTAGCAGAGAGTAAGGGGAGGGGGAACGCACAGAGCAGACTGCCATTTGTATCCATAGGACGCATTGCATTCAATAACAGGAAAGTTGGAGGGCTCTTAAGAGTAAGGAGACAAAGAACATAAAAGGGTAAAATCCTGGAGCGTTAATAAATCCCATCTGGGGACTGCGCCAACGCATACGACAGAACCGTAGTGACCTATACAATTACATGCGATGGCCGAGCGATGTACAAATCAGCGCTTTCATACTCCCAGACGAATCAGGTAACAATTAACTGACCCTGGAGGAATGGATGCCTTTATAGCCTAGGCGAACATCGATCCAGAATTTGAACCCGTGATCGTAAATGGGTGAAAGAGGCCACTTGTCATCACACCATCTCCGCCCTACTTGACGAAGAACATACGCACTATTAAGCTGAGAACTTTGAGTTCGCGGTTGGGCACAGTACATAAGTATATGGCGACGCCGACTTGATTAAAACGATGCTCACGAGAATATCATTGCAGATATCCAGAAGGAAGGGTCAACCAAAGTAGAAACCAACTGGAAACATGGAAAGGCCGAGTAGGAAGCAGGAGCTGGCCGATATATCATGCATGAATCTTCGGACGAGAAGAAGTTTTAACGTAGAAGATAGATCAAGCTAGGCTCTTAGAACTCGCATGCAAGAAGAATGAAGCAATAGTACTTACTTCATTTGAGGTATCTTTGGCGACTATTTCTTTGCCACATTTGTTCACAGCTCCTTCTTCAATGACTTCTGTGGTTTTGTTTTCGATCGCCATGCACACAATGGCAAAACTCATGTTCGTTCGAAGTGAATACACGACGAAGCACCCAAAGAAGCATAATATGGCCAGCACAAATCTCGTAGATGGAATTAACGCTGAAAATCGCTGGTTTCAAACCATCATCATCAAAACGCTCGCTTGGGGGTTCAGAAGAAACATAATTCAGCTTGCACTGCCTAATGTCAACAGTGGAGACGTAAATGCAAGTTATCCATGAAAACAAAATGAGTTCAGGTCTAAAAATTAGGAATTTTTGTACATATATTCATTGGAACTTAATGGTTGAAAGAGATTGGTCGAAATAGATTCCGTAAACTCCCTCATATCTTGAATTAACAAAAAAGCTTCGACAGTTTTGATTTAAGAGGATCGCCTTGAAAAAATAGAATTCATTGAGGCATTATGAACTGGCGACTCTGTTGCTGAAAACTTCACTGCTCCACTACCCTGTACTCATCAAATGATCATGCTAATTCTAAAATGTTAAGCTCTAACTGTAAGTTCAGACTAACAACCAGAAGAATTAACGCGCCACAGAGCTGCTGAACTTTTACAAGTCACTTGGAAGTGTAAGATAATGACTCGCTCATCAATCAAAGTAAACGAACAAACATTCATGAGTGCATTAAAAGGTCATTCAGCCACTCCATTTTGCAATCCATCTTCATCTGGTACATAGTTCTTTCAGGTTTTTCGTTGTCAGAAGGAACCCACATTCTATGAAAAGCCCCCCCCCCCCCTTGCGTATAAAATCAACAACCTTAGCAATCACTTTTATCCACGCTGTTTCTGCTCGAAAATCAGATTGCATCAGAATGGCGCAAATTTGCTTGCTCCGCCCATTCCTTGCACGTAAGAAAAACACATCATCCTATTCGTAATGCCTATATGACGGCATTTGTATGAACTAATCAAGGCTGTACATTCGTTGGCCTTTGAGAGTCAGCGTGTAATAGATTCAATCAATTGTTAAAATGCCGAACGCCCATTTTTGTGCACTGCTGCTATTTTGGGCCTCTGTAGCTACGTCATTCCACTTACTGCGAATTCTGAGAGAATGACGCGAACGTCGCCCACCGACGAAAGAAAAGAGAGAAACTCTCACGCAGGAAAAGGAGAATTCACCGAAAAATAACTATACAGCAATCTTCAAATTTTAAATTCGGGACCGCTTAAGATATAAATACAAAAAGGAGTGTCATGGAAGTGAAATGATAGATTCAATTCCAGGCTCTTGTCTGCTTTCTCTGAGGCCGACTAATGTTGGAAGACGATGACCAAGCAAAAATCATTCAGTTACGATTTGCCCTTGCTTATGATGTCAAATGCATGGGTTTTCCAGTTTTTGTATGCGTTCGCAGCATAAGAAATTAGGATTTCCCCACTCAGACTGGTTTAAACTGGAAAGAACCTCAAAAACAAAGATAACAATCAATGACAGTCTGACTAATGACAGCTCAATCTGATATTGGAACTCTATTGTAACAAAGCTTTGAGTTCTTAGCGTTGTTACGAAAGTAGGCCTTCTCAAAAACATCTTTTAATAATTAAAGAAATCAAATGAAAGTCGAACAAAATTAGTGAACTCACGAGGCTTGGCGGTTAACTCCATTTTGAACGGAGAGGCTGAAAAACTATGCAGAATGGAAATGGACAATAATAACAAAACGAGCGAAAAAACGGTCTCGAAGCTGCACCGCGAATCATAAAATATTGAAAAAATTCTCATACGATTCGAAAGGTGATATGATGGCATGCTAAATACCGAGAACGAATGATTTGATTTGATCGATAGATACGAGAAGAGCCGACAAGGGGTTGGTGTACTTAGGGAATTTTCTGCAAAGCCGCTCTTTAATAGCAAAGTCCAACAGACAGCGTAGAGGTGTGAAAGAATTAATAAACTGTAAGTTCAATGACGTAGGGCCACAAAAAGACAGCTTTCCTCAGTTATGGCATACAACTGATTATATTCCTTTTATTCTAGGGTGATGAAGAATGAAAAATTGCTTGAACTGTTGAGCTGTCGCTTCCAATGCTTCGGCTTACCTTGGCCTAATACCCAATACTCAGCAAAGTGGGCTAGACAAAAAGTAAAGCAATAACTAAAAATCGCTGAGCGTTTTACTTCATCAAAGGAACACCTTCACAGAGGTCGAGACTGCTGTCAAATTTTGTCGCGATTCAGCTGCGAAGCGCAGTCTACGACGTGTCAACTGCTGCGACGCACATGCTACGCGTGCGGCAATCGATACTACATTTGGTTATGTCAAAGTTCGGGGCCACTCCTCTCGCTTAAACCGCCTCGCCCTTTCACTTAGTGACTTGTTACTGGTAGGGCATTGTTCGCTTATTCCGAGATCAGTTTTACCGACTTTCCGTTAGACCACCTCGGCTTGAAGGGTTAGATGTAGACTGCTGATCTCTGATGTCATCTGCACACTCTCAAGATACAGTGTTGAACTCGTCGAAACGTCACCTCCGACTAATAATCAAGGTAATTAACGGAAAAGATGTAATAGTCGATAAACGAAAAAACGCAGTTGGTAAGATAAGACGAAGTGCTTTGAGCAGATTCAGTCCTGACGAAATTTGCAACACACAAATCGCAGAATTAATTGTTGCAAATCTCGATAACGGTTATATTTACGCTGAGACACATACATATTATACAAAGTATCGATTGCCGCACGCGTGTTTGTGGCGAAGCGGCAGCCATGGAGGGGAGCAAGGAGCACATCGCAAACTATGGAGGAATCCCATCCTGCGATATACACAAGTGACGATGGAAATGAAGAATTTCGCAAAAAGAATGTCAAGAAGTTTTTTGTGCTCCTTGACCGTAAACAACTCCAAACAACAATTCTCGCACGGTGGCCATCGGCTCTGCCAATTGAGGAGGATCATTCCAGAAGCAGATTTGCCCGATTTCCTCAGGCTAACCCACCAGGGTGACCTCGTAAATGTTTACAAAGATTGTCATATCAGTCGGTAATTAAGAATTAGACCGACAGCAATTTGAAATGGGTGCAAATGAGTAACAGAAGAACCATTAAAAATGGGACAAACACAGATACAGAAAAAAGTATTTAGCCGCAGAAACCGAATTGTACAAAATAAAGTGAAGGATTTGTATCGTGGAAATGTAGGGATTAGGTGTGTATTACGTCCCATTCACGTGTAAAGAGGATTTTCGAGCCACGAATTCAATGAACCAAGTTCAGGAACGTTGTCGCACCTGCTAAGCAAGGATAGGGACAGGCAAATCATGCAATTGACACTACGTTCGCCTTCCTGTGAACCTCGACCAACATGCGACTGTGATGACCCTTGAGCCAGAGCCAGTTACTCAAAGGTTTTCCAAAGCCAGAAAGGCCGCTCAGCTGATAAGCACACTTTTCACGAGAGCTCTAACGACATAAATAATTTGTCTTGCGTCCCTGAAGCGGAGAAAACCTTTTGAACCACAAAATCTCTAAGGTAACAAAAAAATTCATTCAAATGTTCCAGCGGAGACACAGTTTACTACCTAAGTCGCTTTCTCCAACAGTCCTTAGATAAAAAAATTTTGTCGGACAAGAGACGTTTCTAAGCGCCATAATGGACTCGCAAAGACGGATAAGCTCCCTTTTCTGCGCACCTGCACTCAATGTTGGGAAACAGCGGTCCCCTTCCACAATCCCAATCCTTCTCCGATTACATGTTTACTTCATTTTGATACTTCTTTTCTTCCCCTAAAGATTTTATTTACGGCTTGTTTCCCTTTTAACCACTTTAGGTGTCACTGGTGATCGCGGGGTTACTCATTTGGCCGAGTACTGCCAGTTGTGTTCCGCATGCTTATTACGATATGCAATACTGTGAACGCTCTGGCCCCAAGAGGATAACAGTTGGTCCAGGTTCGCCTCTAAGTTTTTCTCATTACCGGCATCTCAATGCGATGTGAACCCTGCCCCATATCCTATAACTACACTCCATAACGACGATCTTCATTCCCTATGTTAACTTTTCTTCCAAGTTAGCAATCCTGCTATACCGCTTTCCTGATGTGAAGTTTTTGCTTGTCATACCGGTACCGCAATGTTGCCGGCGCTTCCAATATAAAAATTATAGAATTCACCGTTCATACCCCTTTTAATGAATTCTGGTTCAGGTTCAGCAGAAAAAAACTGGCTTGCTTGACGACTATGACAAAAAACATTTCGAAGTGGAAAATGACAGGGTAATTCAAGAGCATGATTTTTGGTCTACACGTCTCAAGCAGGAAGCAAGCATTTTGGAAGAGAACAAGATGAGAAGGTCGGAAAGAATAAAATGGAAAGCTCGCTTTGGAAGAATGAAGCTCATTCAGGATGATGATGACTCAGATATGTTGTTGCTCCTCCCTAGTGATCCCTTGTATTTAATAGTCGATCAGCCTGATTACAGTAGTAACAGTAAGGTCTTAGGAAAGGGAAGTGTTTGTGGGCAGCATATTCCGATAGTCACTTCACCAAACAATACCTGTCCAGGATCAAAGTTGGTTTAATGAGGCGTCGTGAACGGTTCGAGAATTTCACCAACTAGTTTATGTCGTGGAATGAAATATATTGCCTGTGAAAATGCGCCCACTGCATTTTATTTCACTGCAAAGTCACGGTAGGAACGCGAGTCCCAACTGAATTTTCTTCACTGTAAATCACAACAAATTGTAAGTTAAAGAAGGGAAAGTCTTTGAAGTATTAAATGTAGCCATGGACAGTGATTGAACTGAGAGAGAAGCAATATGTCACGCTCATTCTTGGTCTAATTATCAACGATCATAAATCAAGGCGTTCTTGAACCGGCGGCGAACTAAGCAGGCCAGGGTCAACGAAACGACTACTTCAGAGGATTTTATAGAAAGGGAAAGGAACAGAAGTAAAGGGGAAATATGAGTTTAATTGGAACCGACAAGAGAAAAAATGAAATAATGCAATCGATGGCCATTTTCAGAGACAAATAATGAACTACGGATCAATACAAACAAATGAAGATTAGGTCAAAATATCGGATTTTGCTTTCACCCATCAGATACTT